TTCTGAATAGAGTTAGACTCAGCAATACAGATCTATCCTGTTATAGTGGTTACCAGTTAAATTTTCACATACTCTGCTTTATGTTAATGAATTAATTGACTGCTTAATGTGAAATGTGATTGAAAATGTTGAACTTAACATAAATGTTGAAATTGGAGACTTTGTGGACATTGGTCTCTTTTAAAGCATAGCTTTGCTCTTTTGAAAATGCTGCAAATGCACAGCAATCAAGATTATTTAAACATATCACTATGCTTACCAATGATCTGGAGAATACAATTAGGCAATGTCACCAGATATGCACTAAGTCGACTGTTCTAGTTTGTCTTCAATTGCTGTGTCAAAACCCTCTGACCAGTACCAGTTGGAGGAAAGGGATTCTTTGGCTTACATCTCCCAGGTCACAGTTTACCACTGAGGGAGACCAAGGGAGGAACTCAGGACAGGAACCTGGAGGCAGGAGCTGTTTACTGGTTTGCTTCCCTGGCCCATGTTCATCCTGCTTTCTTAACAATACCAGACAACATGCCCAAGGGTAGCCCCACCCACAATGGGCTGGGTGCCCCCACATCACTCAACAATGAAGAAAATACCCCCACAGACATGGCCACAGGCCAGTCCAATGGAGGAAATTTCCCAGTTGAGGTTCCCTCTACCCAAAGGTGTCAAGTTGACAACTAAAGCTGTCCAGTACACTGCCCAACACCTAACACTTTGAATCAAATGAATGTTTGTATGCACATTTTATAAAGAAATGGGGAATCATTGCATCCAAATGTAAATCCTCTTTCAAATTATTTGACTTTTATACTATAGACTATTTCTAAAAATAAAGACAAATTACTAGAAATAGTAACAACAGAGTTTATCAAAACAGCTAGGTAGAAAGATAACATTCTAAAATTAAAGCAATGTACTTTCCTATCTACATTTTGAGCAGAGAATTAATCTAATTTAAAAAATGAATTAGTTTAAAAAATATCCAATTAAAAACATACACTATCAAAATACTAAAACGAGTGTAATGCTAAGTCTAAAAATAATGCAACATTATGTAATACATAAGGCGTTTAAATCAAACATATTAAAGAAGGCTTAATTTACAGAGACACACATACACATAGATGATATCATCATAAATAAAATATACAGTATGCTACATGACACTTTCTTGTCTTTTGGTTTATGAAATCAGTATGCATTCAAGCAAATCAAACAAAGATTTTTGACCAGTTCTAAGTTGCTTGTGTATGAACAAAGTTACAAGAAGAATATTATTTTCAAATAATCAAGAAAATGTAAAAATTATGCCTAATATACACCAAGGTCAATTACATTTTTAAAATAAAACTGTGTTGGCTCTGTTATCAATGTGTGGAAAAATAAATTGATTATAGTGCCTCCAGATAAGCCCACATGAATATCAGAATTTAAGTAATAAAGACAGTGACAGAAGTATCCTTTAACATTAATAAAATATATCATTAAAGCTTCTCTTATACATCATAGCAGCTGGGTATGGAATAGTTTCTTTAAATATAATAGTGATCTGTAGAAACAAATAAATATGCTTATAAAATTCAAAGAATTATATAAATAATTATTTAATTCAAATTCATCAGCCCTTTGAACATATTTATAAAAATGTATAAAACTTCCAAAGAGTATGTATAAATGACAGACAAAATTTATAACTGTACTTATAAAATGTATTAATTATTCCTATCATTTACAACAATCTTAATCATGGAACAAAGTCACAGTTACAAAATAAATAACTAAGGAAAGAAATAAAGTTAGAGACAAAATTGATTCATTACAGCAGGGCATCAGTCTGAGGACAGTCTGGGCCAAGTAGTGGGTTGCTGGCCAGACTGGCATGGGCAGTATGACCTTGGTAACAGAGAAAAAAATTAAAAACAGCAATAACATAATTTTTACCCTAGATCTTTATGTAGACTATGTTGGCCTCGAGATTACAGAGATCTACCTGTCTCTCTATCCTGAGTGCTGGGATTAAAGGTGCACACTATCATGCCTGGATTATTCTATTTTTATAAACCGTAATGCAAACAGAATTACCATGTTGGGGGTTAGTGCTTGAAAAAATTATTAAGAAATAAGTTCAAACTAGTGCAGTGGAATCGTTTTTAATTTGCAATTTTAGTGTTTTGCAATTTTTAATTTCATGTATCAAAATTCCACATATTGCATGTAATATGATCTATGTACCAAATTATGACATTACAGATTTTTAAGTGAGTAAGATACTTACTTGAATAACTTAACATTGTGAGTTGCATTACTTCCTTATTTTATTTCATAAGAGACAAATACCAGCTTAGATAGGCCACTGTTTACAACATAACATGTTCTCAACATCACATTTTTCATTTTTAAGTGTCGTGGTGATGCATTATATAAAATGATTCCAGATGAATTTGTAATTTGTAAGAAAAGGCAGTCTAAGTGTTATTTTAATTTTTGAATTTAAAAATCATAGATTTGAATGGTAGGCAAGAAAGAGAGGAAGTTTTGTCATGTAATTATAGTAGAAGATAAAGGACAAAGGAGATTTATAGGAAGAAAAATTGATACAGAATTTCAGTTTGACTGGAAAGAAAAGCCAAATACATAAAATACTAGAAAAATATGCCCTGGCAGTTGGGGAAGAGCTATGATACAGGAGACTCAGCAGTGAAGGATGCTCACTGCTCTTCCAGAGAGATGCTGTTTGGGTTCCAGCACCCATGTGTGTTGACCCAAAAGCACCTGTAACTTGAGCTTCAGGGAGTCTGATATCCTTTCCATACCTCCACTGGTAAGTACATACATTCACACACACACACATACACACACACACACACACACACACACAAACACACACACACACACACTTAAATAAAAATAATTAAAATAAATCTGTAGGGGAGACGATACAAGAGAGAAACAATGCCTAGCTAGTCAC